AAATTAGAGGTTGTGGTTTGGAGGGAGAAGAAGAAGAAGGAAACAAGAAAAAAGTACGGAAAAAAGGAGAGAAAGGGGTGGTGATCAGTATTGGAAGGGAAGAGAGGGTAGTCTAAGGCCATGCATATGACACCTGGCTTCAAAATGTAATCCATTATATCTATCTACTTCTTGATAATAATCAAAGACTTTCGGCAGAGTACCCATTTGGGATTATATCTGCTGCTCCTTGGATTATACCATGTGAGAGAATAATCAAGCTCACCAACAATGGCTGGCTTCGATTTGATTCTCAGTTTTTTTTACCGAGCATATACTGATAAGAATGAGGTAAAAAAAGGTAATTGTTAGTAGAAATCAACTTGGGAATGGATGTCAATATGTCATGTAGCTTTGTAAAGTTTAGGGTATTGAATGTTACTCACAAGGTAAAGTTTTAAGTACACTGTAAATTTACTTCCTTGGATCATTTTATAGGATTCAGATTCCTTATATAAGCATATAAAAACAAATCTGTTGACGATGGATGGTTTTTATAGTGATTTTTGTCTTAAAAAAATAGTAAATTGATGTTTTAACTAAATTTATTCAAGTATTGCTTTAAAAAATAAAAAAATAAAAGTATTTATTAAATTAAGTTATGATATCTCAAAAATCTAAGTAGTATAGGAATAGAGTTTTTATATTAAATAATTAGTTAATTAATTTATCTTAACAATCCCATCTATTTTTTCTAGTTAAAGTTTATATCTAGTACTTAATAAATCAATATAATTTGTATCTATAAAAAAAAAAATTTAGTTGACATGATGACTTTTAAATATTTAAATAAATATCTTTTTAGATAAAAAATTATCATAATACTCTAATGAAAAAGAAATACTCTTAAATACATATAAAAAAAAGAAAGAAAAACACGTAAATATGAGCATCATTCCTTTTGTGATGAGTAAGAACTATAATATAATTTTATTTTTTATAACATTTTGAGTTGTATTATTAATTATATTTCATTCATTTTATCTAGCTAAAATATGAAGATATGATGAATCATAATAGATTTTAATATACATAATGATTTTGGTGGAACATATATTTTTTTTAATTAAACTTATTTGTTGAGAAAAAAATTTCTTTAAATTTTATGTAAAAATTTATAGAATTGATGCGGTTAGATTTATGTATTATATTTGAATTTATTAGCATAGTGAATATGGTTATACCCAAAGTACGACGATAAAAATCCTTAAAAAACCATCGGGCTTATATTTTCAGATAACACATGACAAGCTCACCTTATTGCCCTGGTAAGATGCTAATTTAAGTTATTTGAATCTAGTACATATTACCAGACCTAACAAGTTTTAGATTTGAATTTGACTAGACCAACAACACTTCAGTTTATTTAATGACGACCCAATACATTTTTGCAAATATACATATGATAATGATATATATTAGCTCAACATGCTTGAGAATACAAAAAAAAATTATACCCACATATATTTTTGTGTTAAAACATAAGCATTTAATAATTTGGATATGATTATCCAATTTATAACATAAAGGTTATAAATCATCATTATTTTATTTTAGATATGGTATACTACCCCACCTATTAAGAATCCAACAAGAAGTACCAAGGCTTGTAGCCCAACAGTTCTAGCAGAGTTTTTCTGTCTATGCATCCTGAGTTCAAGTCTCAGTGTACACGCCTGTCATTTTGGCGGTGTCTTATTTATTTATTGGGCTTATAGGATGTTCAATAAGTCTAAGGATTAGTCATGGTACATGTAAATTGGTACAAATACCTAATTATATTAAAAAAAAAAGAATCCAAGAATTGACAAAACACGGTGAATAGTGCAACGATCATTCATGCTTCAATTTTTAATCCTTTTAAAGACTTTTGCCGGTCTTTAATTTTCTTCTGGTCGAAGGGATGTTTTGTTGCCAATAGCATTGGCAGGTTGGACTTCGGAGGACGAGGGACCAGGAGCCTCCTGCTCATGGCTGCTTTGTTAATTTGCTGGACCAACTTTCCACTCAACATGGACCGGGCCAGGACAGGCCAATCTTCTTGGGCTAGCTCAATTCATAGATCCAAAAGCCAGGTGAAATCATTATTGGGTTTGTAAAACGAGTGTGGGCTACCTCATCCAAAGATATTGCCAGCAAAAACAATTAAACAGAAAAGATACTACTTTTTTTAATCGAAGACGCTCGCTTCCATTGTGGACGGTAAAATAATTGATGATTGTTCAGCCTTTGAACTCTATCAAGGTCAGACAAATACAATCACAGAACTAATACAAAAGATCCAAGAATCTTAGATAGTAAAATAAAAGACTCCTTGAAAAACATTTCAAAGAACTTGCTTAATTTCATGAAAAGAGAAAAAAAGAAAAAGAAAAGAAAACAAGTTGTTTCAAAACTATCAAAAGACTTGTATTTATGTTGTTGAGTGACCAAAACTAACATTTTGCAATTATTTATCCAGGAGGTGCACTGATTTGTTTTTCCAAGAAAACATGCAGAACCACTTCTAGAATCGAAAGTCTAATCAAGCCTCAATGGCATCTCATTCGTTTTTGCTTTTGCAGTAAAAAAGTTCATATTTGTTTTTACATTTTAAAAATATTCTCAATAGATAGAAACCCCATCAATCGTCAACAACTTTGGATAAACACATATTTCAGGTTCTTGATCTCCACTTACCCTTATTCTGACAGAGATAGGAATGCTTTGAAAATTGAAAAAAGAGAATCTTGTTCCTGGAAAAATGTAAAACGTGGACCGGATTGAGCTTAGCCTCTGCTATCACTATAAAAGGGCTTATCAAGTTATGATCTTAAGACACTGAAAGCAAGCCAACACTTTCTTTGTCAAGGTAAAGAGACAATAAAAATGGCTGTTCGCCCAAAACCCCATAATGATGGAAGTGAACCCCAATTTCATACGGGTTTGATTATGATAGATGGCAAACCTTGTTCAAGTCATGATGGGTTCATGTCTAAACAGCCAGTGCTCAAGTCTCTTGACGAGCTCTTGAAGGAGCTGGAATCACGAACTCATCCGGGGACAAACTCCAGCGGTGAGTCCATGTTGTCAAGCAAGATTAAAGAGTCAGAGCCCGTGAATCTTTGCTTGAATAAAGCTATTGAGGTGCCGAGATCAGAAGTCCATCTGTGGACAAACTCCAGCGAGTCCCTATCCTGCTATCTTACAGCTGGACTTGCAGTTGATCCATGCTCAGGCGTTTTGAACCCCCGCCCTCTTAAACCAGAGCAATTTGAAATTGGGTTGGCATTCAAGTACAGTGATCCTTCTGCAGCAGTTGAGCCGTTTTTGCCTGAAACGGCACCGAAACAAGACTTGAAGAGCAAGCAGGTGTCTCGAGAACCAGAACGGAACATCTCCAGCTCCAATTCCAGCAGTTCATCAACCTGTTCTATTCAATAAATTAATAAAAGTTAAGAAATGGATGCTATTTACTTTCTCGTTCAGATGACCTTTCATATCAACTTGGAAAGAAAAGGAAAGATTCCATGTTGCGTAGTACTTTATAGTATCCTAAGAAGTGGAAAAGGCTTTAGCTAATGTTATTGTTGGGATCTTATGTCTCTATGGGGCACTTGTATAGGTCCAACACCAAAAAGAAAACTAGTCGGTGTGCCAGTTTCTTCTTAATCCTTGGATAAAATGGCCCCTTCGGCCTTCGGTTTCTGATAATGATTTGAGCAGGCATAGATTTCATAACATCCCAGAATCAAGCTTGAATATCGTTAATTCGTTTGACTGCAAGTCTTCTTCGGTCTCTCCCTAGCACAAGCACTGGTGGGTGGACAGTTTCTTCTCAGTATAGAATGCTGATAGACAAGGAAGCAGATTAATAGCTTGATTCCGCCTATCGAACAAGACAACTAGCTAGATTTTTGTAAGCAAATTTTAAGGATTAAGGACTATCGATGGAGACTAAAGGGTAATTCCAAGGTGGTCACCCTCTTTTAGGCACTCCTTGTGTTGCTTGAGAGATAATATAATATGCTAAAAAGCCTTGACATTTTCCCAGTATTGGGCCCTCAAAAGCTAAAACTCCCACCTGGAAAAATAAGAGGACAAGAACGAATTTTTCAAGACCCCGTCCATATATGGGGTTCTGCGATACTCGTAAAGTGATCTCTTACGAGTGTAAACTAGCCTGTTGTCTTGTTATTTTCATCAAACTTAACTTCTTTATATTCTGGCCGGCAGCAGTATATTAGCCTTGAGAAGTAAGACAAGGTTTCATGGCATGTGATAAAGACACATGACTTCACGTCTCTTATATCCATCCAACGTGAAGGTAGAAATCGAAAGATACCATATTAGTTGATCTTATCGTTCTAGCCGGCTATTACGTCAATCGTCGACGTGTTTACCGATGTTGATTGTCCAGGTTCAAATATGGTTTCCATGTTGAGGAATTCGTGTATAAAATATTTAATTTTAATTCATTCAAGTTAAAGATTATAATAATTTTTTTATATAAAACAATTATTATAATCTTTAATAAATAACTCTAATAACATTGAATATGAAAAATAAAATAAGAAAAACATTTGTTGCCTAAATATAATATTAAATAGATTAATCTTATATTTACACACGTTTAAGTTTTACAAATGTTAATACATGTCATAACTAATTTTACGGCAATATATTTTAGGAAAGCTTTAATAATCTAGCCAAATAAAAAATTACTCCACCAAATCCGATTCTTTCATTTTTTTTAACAAAATACTTTTTTTATTAGTAACATGCCTTTTGAATTAAAATTAATGGTAATTAAAAAAAATAAGAATTAAGAAAAATGAATTTAAGCTGAGCTACAGTAACAAACAGTGAAAACTCATTTTCTTTTAGGTTCATTGTATAAATAGCAATTGCTTAGATAGAATTTATGCAGCGCAGGGTTCAGTCTAGAACATTGTCAGTAGCTTAGCAAATTTCACCAAATAATGTCTGTCGATGAATCGTGGACGACTAGAATCATCACCGAGGAGGAAGCTGACACTGCCCAATCCAAGAGTGGTTTCGATCCACTTACCGGGATTTACCACTCATTGCATCAACTCGGAGAGAATTTCCAAATCCCAACCAGACATGACATAGACACTACCACTTATGTGCTATCCCAATTCCCTCATCCTGATCATGCGCCGACTAAAGTTGCCCTTATTGATTTGGCCACCAACCACCAAGTCAACTACTCACAGCTCCATCGATCTATCCGTGCCCTTGCATCAGGCTTGTACAATGGCCTAGGAGTCCGAAAAGGTGATGTGGTGTTTCTTCTGTCACAAAACTCAATCTTGTATCCGACAATATGTCTCGCTATATTTTCCACTGGAGCAATCCTGAGTCCTGCCAATCCCGTCAACACAAAATCAGAAATTTCTAAACAAATACAGGATTCGGGTGCTAAACTTGTTATATCATCGCCAGAGGAGCTGCATAAGTTGTTAGAAATTGGAGTGCCTACGCTAGTCACAACTCGTGAGTCGAATGGCGATTCACTATCTGTCGAAGAACTGATTGAATACAGTGATCCGCTCGAGTTACCACAGGTCGGTATAACTCAATCAGACACTGCAGCTATACTATACTCTTCAGGTACTACTGGCACAAGCAAAGGTGTGATATTAACGCATTCGAACTTTATAGCCGTCATGACACTCCTCAAATGGTCTGTCTTCGCAACTTCATCACAAAATGACACATTCTTGTGCTTCATCCCTATATTTCACATCTATGGCCTCGCATTTTTTGGGTTAGGATTATTTTGTGCAGGGATTACGACAGTTCTAATGCGAAGATTTGATTTTCAAGCAATGCTTGATGCTGTTCAAGCTTACAAAATTAATAACATACCTGCTGTCCCTCCAGTGATACTTGGGCTAGTGAAGAATGGCAGCAAAGTTAAGCGTGACTTGTCATCTTTAAGAAGGGTGGGATCTGGGGCTGCCCCGTTGAGCAAGGACTTGTCTGATGAGTTTAGGCGAAGGTTTCCGTGGGTAGAGCTAAGGCAAGGATATGGGCTTACAGAAAGCTGTGCCGCAGCAACATTTTTCATTTCTGATGAGCAGGCTAAGAAACACCCAGCTTCTTGTGGACGGCTAGTGCCGACTTTCAGTGCTAAGATTGTGGATACTGAAACAGGATCAGCTTTGCCACCTGGTGGAAAAGGAGAGCTGTGGTTAAAGAGTCCTACTATAATGAAAGGGTACTTGGGAAATGAGGCTGCTACGGCTGCAACAATTGATCCAGACGGGTGGCTAAAAACTGGTGATATGGGTTATCTTGATGAAGATGGATTTCTTCATCTTGTTGATCGGATAAAGGAGCTGATCAAGCATAACGGGTATCAGGTATTTCAGCCTGCCTTTTCATCGATTCTCATCATGTTTCAGCGAAAAGCTTAGCTCTCCCAACAATCCAAAACCAAGCTCCTTTCTTTATCAATTTCGGGGATTCGTTTAATCTGGTGGTAAATGCAGGTGGCTCCGGCAGAATTGGAAGCTATTCTTCTGGGTCATCCCCAAGTACTTGATGCAGCAGTTATACCGTAAGCTGTCTTTTCACATCTCTCTCTTTACCTCTCTGAGATCTATCTAAATATATTAACACATTTTGCAGTGTGGAAGATGAAGAAGCTGGACAGATACCGATGGCATATGTGGTGAGAGCAGCTGGTTCGGAACTCACTGAAGAACAAGTCATTCAATTTGTTGCTAATCAGGTTGGTCTGATAACTTCTTCCCCTTAACTTAAAGTAGACTCTAAGATTGCACTCTTCTGATCTTTTTGCATGAAAATCTTAGGTTGCCCCATACAAGAAAGTGAGAAGAGTGGGTTTCATCAGCGCCATTCCAAAGTCTGCTGCGGGCAAAATCTTGAGGAGGGAGCTTGTTTCACACAGCCAACAAATTACCTCGAAATTGTAGCCTCCCTCTATTTCTTGCTAGTGGGTCAAGAAATGAAGGAACATTCATCCCTCCACATATAAATGGGCTGTCTGCCTATTAGTTCTACTGGAAAGACAGAGCAGGAACGCCTCATAAAAGGTAATTAGAAGAAAATAGTTCTTGAAACTTTCTTTTTCCCGGTCTTGTAATATGGTTTCTGGATGATTAGACATCTGTGTAAGGTAACATAGGACGCAGTGATGGTATCTGAAGATGAAATAAAAATGGTTTTGAAACCCACGACCATCATCCTTTATTATCAAATTACAAGTCATAATTCAAAGCTTATATTCACTACCCACCCAGACTTCACACTCTATTGAAGCCAGCTTCCTGTTGTTCATCTCATAGTTTCCCACGATAGAGGAAAATTTACGGCAAAACCCAAATAGAAGATTACTGGAGGGACAACTTCTGATTCTCGATAAGAATGTCAGATATAAAAGAAAACGGAAGCAAGCTGGATGAAATTTTAAAGAATTTTGAGTGCTTCTGGAGAGCCTTTAACATCGCCAACATGCAAGCAAAACGCACGCAGCCAACATAAACTGCATATTCACAAGGAACTATTTGTCATCAGAAAGAAAAACATAGCAAGATATAGGTCTCAGAAATGCATCCCAAGAATCGGTTCTCTTCCAATAAAATATATGATATATTAAATCAAATTAAATAAAAACTAATTGTTTATTATATGATATCCAATGAAATTTATGGTGTGCTGGGAGATAATAATTCAATTAGAGTCTCTACATACTGCACACCAATGAAATCAAGATTGTTAGGAGCAGGAACTGTCACTACTTTGATTTAATTGTTGCTAGATCTTTTGCTGGAGAAAAGAGTAAGAGGGAGCTAAATGGAGAGTAGGGAGGAGAGGAGGCTGGAGAGGCTAGAGATGAAAGTTTGAGAAAACCTAAACCTTTTATTTATATAGACTTTGTATAAAAGTAATTTTGCCAAACTTTAAGGTTATTGATATATTTCTTAATAATTATAACATATTTTAACTTAACCTTTTCACCATGAATATTACTCAAACTTGAATGAGTAAAAACTTTTTTTTTCATTCTAGTCAATTTCAAACAGGCTAAATTTAAATTTAAGATTTTATAGATTATAAATTTTAAAAATTAATTTAAATTTAAGAGATTTATCCAATTTTTTAAAATTTATTTAATTGATTGGGTAATTTTTTTATTTGCTATTAAATTTTATCCTTCAATTAAACTCTGTTATTTTTTTATTTGTTTTTTATTATATTTTTCATTAATTTTTAAAATAATTTGAATTATTTCATCATTTAATTTTTAATTATTATATAATTAAGCTATATATTTTTATCAAACTTACTTTTTAGTTTTTTTTAATAAGTCCGAAGTGATTATTATAACCAACAGCAACTGCCAACGCAATGCGCGGATAACCAGCTAGCTGCTAATTAATGCATATTTATTGCACGCCACCCCCTTTTACTCTCCACCCCTTGTTAATTGCCAATTGTCAATCCTTGATTAATCAACCAATTGGCCATAATCTAATTGCGGAAACCAATTGGTCGTGTCCATTTCCTTCTTAAACACTCCTCTGTCTCCATACAAATCTGTTAGGGCTACTAAAATAATTCAGTGACTAAATTAATTAAAAGATTAATTTAGTGCAAATAAAAAGGAGACAGAAATTATATGTACTTGCACTCTCACGTAGACTTAATAAAGCATGCCGTCAAAGGAAGTGATAATCCGTGCATGCATGGAACTGAATTCAATTTGCGCAGGAATAGAAGACTGTTCAGTATGTTAACCACGCTGATGGCGTTACGCTCTCCTAGCAGCGATGCAAGGACAGTGTGCTTCCATACACCAGAATTAACAGGCATCATGATTTTAATTTAAAGTACATAAGTCAGACATTCGAACACGGTTTTTGAGGACAGATCTCAGTAGATTCAATGATGGAAAGTGTCGGGAAAATAAATTTAATTCAAGCGTAACAGAAATAATTAAGAAATATTGACTGATCAACAACCCAGTTTGTCGTGCAGGCTTATATAGCCCATTGTTAGCATACACGCGGAGTAGACAGATATCTGTGTGCATGAATCACTACCGTTAGCGGATAAACTTGAGCTCAAGGAGACAATCGCTAGCATAAATCAAGGCAAGACAGCTACCAGTACATGGGAATTAATACGTGAATTCAAAAGTGGAGTTCAAATTAATATTAACAGAATGCATGCTCCTGCTCCCATTGCCCAAGTCAAATATTACGAGACACTTCTAAGTAAAAAAGATAAAGCTTGTAGTCTATTGCATACAGACAGAAAAAGACAGTCCTCCACAGGACCGCCACCCCACCACCAACACCCCCCCTTTAGTACTCAAGATCATTTGCTAACAAATGAGAGCCGGCACTAGAAATATTTTAAGAACTTTTCAAAAACCATGTCTCGTCACCTTTACAATTAATTCAAAAATCTTGCCTCGTTACAATGCCTATATATAGGGTTGCCACTTCAAGCATTTCCAGCCAACAAAGCATACTTGTTCCTCTTACAGTGAGCGACACGCATAAACATATACATTGAGCCGTGCTCGAGAGAATAATCTGGAAATGGCAAGTCCAAGACTGTTAGGGACTGCTTTCCTGGTCTTGCTTATTGTAGACAT